GGCGGCGCGGCGGCGGCGGCGGCGGCGACGGCGGCGCAGTAAAAGAGCAAACAAAACAGCGCGTTATCGAACACGTGTATCAAAGAGCAGCGTTAAACCGACGAAACACAGGAAAACGGAAAGTTTTAGCTTCCGATTACGAGGCCGTTCTCGCGTGATTAATTAACGGGAGCCTGGATGCCCGTTTTATTCGCCGCGCCGCTGCGCTCCGCTCGAAACCGTCACGCCTGGCGAGTTCCTTTCTTTGCCTGTTCGATCGATCGAACGAAAACATTCCGGAAAAAAGGAAAAAAGGACAAACGGAAAACACCGCGATCCGTAGTAGTGTTTCGTCGTGAAACGTCCGTCCGTGTGTATGTGTGTACGTAAAGGAAAACGGCCGACCGATCGGACCCGTGGAAAAATTTCTCTTCGTTCGCGGTCCCGCGCCTCTCCCGCGTTCCAGAAATTCTCTCTGATAAACAGCGTCGACTACGTTTATTCGACAAGAAATGCGACTATAAAATCGGAAAAATCGGAAAATTTTCTTTCACGGAAGAAGAAAGAGAATGCTCGGATTTATTCGCTGCGCGAAACATCGAACGCGAACCGATTCGATACGGAATCGCGATTCGGCTAGGTAACACCCTATCGATGTCGCCTTTCGATCGTCCTGCGAGCGAACCTTAATTAATTGCTTTATATCCTCTTCTCTCTACACTCTGCGTAAATACGCCGCATCAGCCGTATTAACCGCGTTACCATAGATATTCGTACCGGACAACGAACACAACGACGGATTCGCTCGAACGCGTTACCAAGAATTTGCCAGAACGATGTTTCGCGCGAATAACTAACTCGAGCTAATTAGTTGGCCGTTGTTAATCGACGACGGAATTCAGGCTGACTCATCGATTGCGTCGATCAACTTTACCACGCCTCCTATCCTAGATGCTTCTTTCTCGATAGTCGCTATTTAATAATTTCTATGTAATAGCGTGCTCGTAGCGCGGGGTCGGAATAGAAGCGAGATTTCGATGAAAACGAGCGAAATATCCGACATATTAAATAGCGTCGCGTTGCGTCGCGTCGGTAGGACAATTTGCTGATTCCATCTTCACGGGCCGAAGTTGGCGGCGTTCAGACGGTTTATCATAACAAAACTTTTCCCCGATAAAATTCTCTCGGGAGACGAGAGACGGGAGAGCAGCTTTTATTTATTCACACCGTTTCCCCTATAATTGCGCTTTCTCAGGGTATTACGCATTCATGCCTCGAAAGACGCTCGGAATATCTTAAGATGCGTCGAGATTACGCGGCGAGAAGAAGCTGAATGATTCCACCGATACATGAATAAAGATTAGAAATTTTCTTACTTTTCGGAACGAAAGTAAGAAAGGAAAAGCTCGACAAGGATAAAAAAGAAAGGAAAAATAGAATGCACGTGCAACGAGGATCGATCGGAAATCGATGAAGACAAGGACAGAAGGACGTCGTTACGCGTCGTTCTACCTGCGTGCGTCCATTGACAGCGACAATACCAAATCACCGGATACGTTGCATCCGCAAAACTTATCGGTCGACCACCGGAATTTCCTTCCTTCCTTCCTTCCTTCCTTCCTCCGTCCCTCCCAGTCTCATCCCCGCCCTCTCCGACTCTGTTCCAGGAACAGACCTTACCGTCCTAAAGATTCGTCCGCTGGTGTGTCAAAAATTGATTCGCCGATTACGTGCAACCACGACCAACGAGTTCAATCTGTTCGCTGGGCCGAGTATTTTTCTCTCGGAACGACGCGACGTTGGCGCGTCTAGAGAAAGCTCGCAATCGGATCGGTAATTAAACGAACCGACACGACGCGACGGTTGCGAAGCTTTTCTGGCCCGGTTGGACGCTCGGAGGATCAAGGAAAAACAAAGGAGAGAAAGAGAGGGAGAGAGAGAGAATATTTCATTACAAGGTCTAGTCCGTTTGATCCTGGCCGCTATATCGATCTCTGGGTGCTGGCTCCTTGGCCGCAGTCCCGCAAGTATCGTCGCCCTCGATGACGTTTCCTTTCGTCCCTTTGTTCCGGGACATCCCGCTCTCGAGCTGTTGACTTGGAAATTCGATTAGGTACTTGTTCGCGTCGTTCGATCATGCTCGAAGCTTACCGGTTAGCTACCTACGTACTTTTCCAACCTCTTACCATCGCGAGCGTCGGCTCCGATATATCTTTTTCGAGTTCCGACCAATCGATAGACGTTCGTTAGCCACGTCGAGATCCGTCCGACTGAATTTTTCAGCAGCGAGGATTCGGGGACAGCGCTGCTCGAAATGCTCGATTCAGAATAAGTAACGGCGAACAAAGAGAGAAACAGCAGTCTGAACGTCTGCTTAAGGGATCAGCCGATAAGACGGTTTCGCGGTCGAGTTTAATTTCACATTTAAATGGGCCGATCTCTAAATGGCTACTTTTCGAAATTTTAACAACTAATATACAACTAATTACTAATAAATCAGTATAAAATATATACATCTACCGAGTGGAACCTCCGCGATTTCAACCTCTGACGATTTATTCGAGTCGTTTGCTACGATAGCCCACGTTTCAGCCTGGAAGTTGGAGCAAAGAAAGAATTCGTAAATTCCACGAGAGCACGTCTGCCGTGTGTCTGTCGAGGAGCGTCGACGCGTTACGTGTCAGCTCGCAACACCCTTTATTACTCGTCACCGTTTAAACGCTCCGAAGCACGCGACGCCTCCTCCGTTATTACCGTGAGACGTCGTGGAAAGTTTGGGACGTGCGACGGATGAGAAATTGTATCGTTGCTCCGCGTCTGTCCCGTCGACTGGCCTGCTCCGCCATAAGGAAAAATCCTTCTTTTCCTTACCTCGCCGGATCCAGCTTACCACGATAACTTTAACCTTAAATTCCGTCTAGCCTCGGTGTTCGCGAGATTACTCTAACCCAACCTCGTTCAAAGTTGATTTTACTCGGTAACGCGAGTTATCGAGAGCAGCCAGTTAGCCTCCAGTGGAGAGCCAGTTACGCCGGCATTTAACATCGCGTTCTCGATTCGTTTGTACCGCGTTCCGAATAATCTACACCGAACGAAACATAAGCCGGAGCCGAAACTATCGCGAATAAATAGTAGGAAGAAAGTTTCGCTCGCGGAATAATAGAGACCGGTACGATCGAAAGAGCTCGAAATTCTCGACCCTTCTCGCGGCCCGTCCATCGTATCATTTATTATTCCGTGATTTCAATCGCGATATAAATGACTCACTCGATAAAGGGAAAAAGAAACGTGACTCACGCACGATCGACGAACAGCCGCGCTCGTTTTCTCCGCCCTTACGGTCCTGTTGCACGCCGCCAAACAACGTGTATAAAAGGCTCACGGTATCTCTGCCCGATTAACCCTCGCGAGACAAAGCCTGTTCTTCGATCGCGAAACTTACCGTCGTCCGTTTAAACATCTTTCTCGTCCGAATCTCGTCCGAATCTCGTCCGAACGGACAGCCAGACAGATCGAGAGAGGCAAAAAAGCTGAAAATTTATACGATGGATCGTAGGATAGTCCGACGCCGACGTGGCGTTCGAATACGAATAAATATGGAAAATAAACTTAAGTCCGTTCGATCAATGTCTTTTTTCCTCCCCATTCTCTATTTTTCTTTCTTTCTCCCTCGCAGGCCGTTCATATTCCCGTTTTTACCGTCGGATTTTCTATTCCCTTTACAGAAGGCTCGACTATCGAATCACGCGCCGCGCCCTGCTGCCCATAAATTCAACCGGGTATTATTTAATTAAAACCTGGCTGTAATTTATGTATTTATTGCCGACACTTTTATTCGCCGTATCTTATTTATCGAGAAATCTGTTTACAAGCTCGAACAAAACGCGATTCCTTTTTCGGACCATTACCTTCGCGAACAAAAAGAAAGAGAACAATTCGATGGACGCGCTATATCATCTTTATATCTTTATATCTTTATATCTTTATATCTTTATATCTTTATGTCTTTATATCGTAGAAATAGAATTTCTGTTTACGGTGGCGACTTATGGACAAGGCGAAAACGCTTGTCGGATCGGACCTACGCGGAACGGAGGGTTGGATCGGGCTCGACATCGCGAAGCGACCCGAGACCTCGACACGCGACACCGTTTGCCCTTTCCTCGATGCCGAGCGAACTACGATCTGTGGCTAGCAGATAGCTGGCTTCGCTCTAGGGACGCGACGGTGTACGATTTCCGTGCCGTAAAGCAACACCGAGAGACGAAATTAACCGACTGTGTTCAGACAGTCGCGATGCGAGGTAGAAACCAGGGGTCAACTCGACGACGACGACGACGACGACACCTTTCCTCCTTCTGTTTGTCCTCTTTGTCGCATTTCTCGTTTCATCGACTCCCCGACGACTTCCCGGGCTTCCCGGGGGAGCCGACCTTCCACCGCGCCGCATCGCGCCAAACGACAGATCCGATTCTACACCCTGGATGCGTCTCCTTCCATTCTATCTCGTATCGCGTCTGATCGCTTTAAGCTTCCCTCCTCCAGCCATCGTGGATTAACGTTGTTACGACTGGTCGACGATTGGCTTCGCCCCGTGTACGTCCCTAGGTAAACTTGCTCCAAAGTCGGCTGGATAAAAGTCGACTCGAGCCGCGTGCGGCCACTGACTCACGGACTGGTGGAACAAAATCAGACCCCCTGGCGTGCTCGATATGCATGAGTTATCATTCGTACCACGAATGAATCATATCTCTTCTCGAATCGACCCCTATCGACCCCTTTCGACCAGCAGGCCTGTGTTCTTTCTCCTCGACAACTTTCGGTTTCGACTTCGTCTTCCGTGACGAGGGTGAACGTCCTTGAATAGGGTGGATCGAAATAGACTTCTTTCCTCCTCGATACTATCTTTTCGCCGGTCGAACAAAAATTTCACCGCGACTTTTCTTTTTCCGCCTCCCCCTTGCATACGATCGCGCCGAGTTTTCTTAAACGACCAGTCAGAAGCACGAAACGTTAATCGAAAGAGAGAAAGAGAAACTTTGAACGCGACGTCGATACGTGGCCAGGACACTTTATAACGTTAACGTAACAACTGGCCTCCTTCTAAAAGCCGGTCAAATACTCCGTTTGTAAGCTGCAAAGGAAAATTGAAAGAAAGGGAAAAAAGGAGATAAGAGAAGCCGCAAAGGTAGACGCGAATAACAGCGACGACAAAAGATGTCGAGCAAATACCTAATGTTTTTGCACTTTCATAGTCCTCTTCTCCGGACCAGTTTTCCTCTTTCCTCCTCCCTCTCGTCTTTTAACCAGCCTCGTTATCGAGCCTTCTTATCTCTCTTCTTTCGTTCTCTCGGCATCGTCTTCGCACTTATCACGGTTTTCTTCCCTTTCACCCCTGATGCCACCCCATTTACATCGCCATTCACGTTCGTTGCCCTTCTTTCTTATCGTTATTTCCCTTTCTGTCTCCTTTAATAACCCAGCCCCTTCGCCATCCTCCTCGGACAAGCAAAGTAGCCCTCTTCCCTCATCCTTCGCGATTCCTTTTCTTCGACGAGAACGCGCCACCCCTTCGAGCGGCGAAAAGCAACCCTTTGTCGATCCAAAGCATACACGCGTACGCGCGCACAGAGGGTTCTTACGGTAACGAGCGACTTCCAGCCCGATGGAAAAATATTTGCGCGTCGAGGCTGGAAGACCGCTGCTCCGGGGATTTTAAATACCCGTTGCTTTATCTGGCCCGCGATCGAATGAAAAACGGTTGAAAAAACATTTTTATTTACCTAAATCGGCGTACATGTTCGCGAACACGTGGCCAGATTCTCGATAAAAAATATCGAGTTACTCGGAACGCTTCCCTAACGACGCGACGCGTCGACCCTCTCGACCGAACGGCAATTTTTCTGTCTTCGCGACACCAGCGAAATTGCGGCTTTGTTTCCGCTCGTGACGCCTCGCGACTCCCCTTTCGAATCGACGCGGCCTGCTTCTGTTTTCGCCCTTTTAACCGCCGCGGCCCAACTAATTGGATCTTACGGTACTCCTCCTTCCGTCTCTTTCCTCGAACGAACTTTACTCTTTTACGTTTTACAGAATGCTTCGTTCCCCGTACGCGCAATTATTTCGACCTGCTTCGAAAAGTACGACTCGCTTCGTGCCGTCCGAAAATTATTATTCTCCTTCCTCGAAGAGAGATAATTCTCTTTGTATTCTCTTCGTAACGCGGACCCGCTATAAGTTGCCGGTAGATAAGATAAAGCTCCGTTGTCCTTTTATTTCGAACGTAATTCCCTTCTTTTCCCTTCTTTTCCCTTCTTTTCCCTTCTTTTCCCTTCTTTTCCCTTCTTTTCCCTTCTTTTCCCTTCTTTTCCCTTCTTTTCCCTTCTTTTCCCTTCTTTTCCCTTCTTTTCCCTTCTTTTCCCTTCTTTTCCCTTCTTTTCCCTTCTTTTCCCTTCTTTTCCCTTCTTTTCCCTTCTTTTCCCTTCTTTTCCCTTCTTTTCCCTTCTTTTCCCTTCTTTTCCCTTCTTTTCCCTTCTTTTCCCTTCTTTTCCCTTCTTTTCCCTTCTTTTCCCTTCTTTTCCCTTCTTTTCCCTTCTTTTCCCTTCTTTTCCCTTCTTTTCCCTTCTTTTCCCTTCTTTTCCCTTCTTTTCCCTTCTTTTCCCTTCTTTTCCCTTCTTTTCCCTTCTTGTCGAGCCACGAAAGGAGTTAACGATCAATTTGCCAGTCGTCCGCATCGATATTCCTGTCTGCTGCATGGATTTCGCTCTGAAACGCTGCTGGGGCGGAATTAAAAGCAAAGAAGTCTTTATCTGGCCCGCGATCGAATGAAAAACGGTTGAAAAAACATTTTTATTTACCTAAATCGGCGTACATGTTCGCGAACACGTGGCCAGATTCTCGATAAAAAATATCGAGTTACTCGGAACGCTTCCCTAACGACGCGACGCGTCGACCCTCTCGACCGAACGGCAATTTTTCTGTCTTCGCGACACCAGCGAAATTGCGGCTTTGTTTCCGCTCGTGACGCCTCGCGACTCCCCTTTCGAATCGACGCGGCCTGCTTCTGTTTTCGCCCTTTTAACCGCCGCGGCCCAACTAATTGGATCTTACGGTACTCCTCCTTCCGTCTCTTTCCTCGAACGAACTTTACTCTTTTACGTTTTACAGAATGCTTCGTTCCCCGTACGCGCAATTATTTCGACCTGCTTCGAAAAGTACGACTCGCTTCGTGCCGTCCGAAAATTATTATTCTCCTTCCTCGAAGAGAGATAATTCTCTTTGTATTCTCTTCGTAACGCGGACCCGCTATAAGTTGCCGGTAGATAAGATAAAGCTCCGTTGTCCTTTTATTTCGAACGTAATTCCCTTCTTTTCCCTTCTTTTCCCTTCTTTTCCCTTCTTGTCGAGCCACGAAAGGAGTTAACGATCAATTTGCCAGTCGTCCGCATCGATATTCCTGTCTGCTGCATGGATTTCGCTCTGAAACGCTGCTGGGGCGGAATTAAAAGCAAAGAAGTCGGATGTTCGAATGTTCGAGCGACGATTATTTCGCTTTAGAACGACTTTAACCTCGATACCGATGTCGGTCGTGTTAATCAACGAATAATTAGCGTTCCTAATGAACAGATGAAATTACAAATTGGAAATATCCGGATTAATCGAAATAACAGGCGCGATTGCCCTTTTCGAATGTCGTTTCCCGTTCAACGTCAAACATTCGGGCTTAATTATATCGTTCGATGTTTCAGACACGGGAGCCCTGAGGATGCTGGAGCTGGTAGTACCCCAGTACGTGGTCCGCGGTCAGAACATAAGATTAGAGTGCAACTTCAACCTGGACGGCGAGACGTTGTACTCGGTGAAATGGTACAAGGACGGGAACGAATTCTATCGCTACGTACCTCAGGACAGACCACCGGTGCTCGTCTTCCAGCTGCCAGGTGTCACGGCGAACGTAAGAATCGCGTCGTATTGATTTTTCTTGTCTCGTGCCGATGCACCGCGCTCTCCGCGCTCTCGATCTATTTACAGCGCGTCGTTTTTCATTTCTTCCTTCCCTCCACGGCCAACCATCTTGCAACCTTGTTCCGCGCTACCCTTCTCCTACACCCTTCTCCTACACCCTTCTCGATGATACCCTTATTTCACGGCCCTTGTTTCCCACTTTCAGATTCACAATTCGACCGAGCGATCGGTCGTCCTCTATTCCGTCAACCTGATGAGCTCCGGAAGATACAGATGCGAGGTGTCAGCGGAGGCGCCCTCCTTTCAAACGGTATCCGATCACTCGGACATGATGGTAGTGGGTAAGGCACGTTTACATATCCATCTAACCGAAATATTTCCTCTTTAAAACGCGCTCCACAATTTTTCTTCGCTAATAAACCCGTCCGAGCAGGACAAAAGTTTTCTCAGAGTACGCTCTCTTAATCTCCTCCCGCTTTTAATCTCTCCGTAGAAAGTTAAACGAATTGTTAAAAAGGGAAAAAAGCCAGAATGATAAAGTGCGTTGTAAAACGTTGCAGCCCTGCCGGAAGACGGGCCCGTTATCACGGGTCGACCAGGAAGGCATCGTTATCAGGTCCGTGACGTGGTGCGGTTCAATTGCACTTCGGCCAAGTCGAAACCAGCTGCCATGCTCAGTTGGTTCATCAACGGAGAGCCTGTAAGTGCAACTGTACTACCTTTATCGATGTTTCGTCGCGTAACTGTTAAAAAAACCAATTGGAAAGTAGAGCTGCTTCGAAAATGAAGAAAAAGAAACGACGCGAAAATAATAGGCGGTCGTCGGAGGCGGAGTCGCAAATTGAGCCGCGTTCGAAAACTATATCCAGCTTTTGGTCGGTGTCGGTTTCCGTTTAGGTCGACACGCAATACTTGAGAGGGCCCCACATCACCGAGGTGGATCGCGAGGGTCTGGAGACGGCCGTGCTCGGTCTGGAGTTCCGTCTGCACGCGAAGCATTTCAAGAGGGGAGACCTGAAGATCAAATGCCTGGCGACGATAGCGACCGTCTATTGGAAATCGAACGAGCTCAGCATAGAGGGTGAAAGGCCCCACAAGATGCCGGTAATGGAGAGCAGGGAGACAAGGGCGCAAGGGCACACGCACGCGGAACATATCTTGGGAGGTAAGCTCGGCTGCGCAACATCCTCGACTCCTATTCACATTCCCATTCTCATTCCCATTCCCATTCCCATTCCCATTCCTACCGTGACACGCGATTCTCCTTTATTGCAAAAACCTCCAGCGAGGCGATTATTCTTCGGAAGAAAACGCACCGGAAGCCTCGTGAAACCACGTATTTTCGTGGGAAAAAGGACAGTTTCCTTCCCGAGATAAACCTCTTGGAGAGGAGCGCTCGAGGACGCTTAAAAACGCTCGAGAACGATACGTTAATCGGAGAAAATTACACCGGCAAGTTTTCCGAGTTACGAGTTACGTAATTCGATTTTTCTGTTCTTTCAGGAAGCGGAAGCAGCGCGCTGCTGCCCTGCATCTTGCCACTGGTCACGTGTTTATTGATCCTTCGATAAGGGGAAGAGAGGATACACGCGCCTTTCGTGCTCATCCGTTTCCAGGCCTGCTAACCCGGAGACTCCCGTCTACGCTAAATTATTATCCGTGTTGTTTCTATTTTTTATAATCGCAGTTAGCGCAGTTAGCGAGGACATAGACGAAAAAATATATTAAACGAAGATAGACGTTTTTGAGAGAGGTGGCTTCGAGCTGGGAGAGGGGACAGAGGCAAACAAACTACTTACTGGATCAGTCCATTAATCTGTGCGCGTGTGTACCCGTGAAATCGTCGCTCTTTACGTAACACAGATTCGATGAACCGATCCAATAAAGGACCACTGATCCCGATTATATTATCAAACTTTTTATTCGGTCGTTCGCGCGATTCGACGAGCAAACTTTTCAGAAAAAGATACGATATCCGTGCGTCGGCAAAAGTATCCGCCGTTCGAAAACTATATCCAGCTTTTGGTCGGTGTCGGTTTCCGTTTAGGTCGACACGCAATACTTGAGAGGGCCCCACATCACCGAGGTGGATCGCGAGGGTCTGGAGACGGCCGTGCTCGGTCTGGAGTTCCGTCTGCACGCGAAGCATTTCAAGAGGGGAGACCTGAAGATCAAATGCCTGGCGACGATAGCGACCGTCTATTGGAAATCGAACGAGCTCAGCATAGAGGGTGAAAGGCCCCACAAGATGCCGGTAATGGAGAGCAGGGAGACAAGGGCGCAAGGGCACACGCACGCGGAACATATCTTGGGAGGTAAGCTCGGCTGCGCAACATCCTCGACTCCTATTCACATTCCCATTCTCATTCCCATTCCCATTCCCATTCCCATTCCCATTCCTACCGTGACACGCGATTCTCCTTTATTGCAAAAACCTCCAGCGAGGCGATTATTCTTCGGAAGAAAACGCACCGGAAGCCTCGTGAAACCACGTATTTTCGTGGGAAAAAGGACAGTTTCCTTCCCGAGATAAACCTCTTGGAGAGGAGCGCTCGAGGACGCTTAAAAACGCTCGAGAACGATACGTTAATCGGAGAAAATTACACCGGCAAGTTTTCCGAGTTACGAGTTACGTAATTCGATTTTTCTGTTCTTTCAGGAAGCGGAAGCAGCGCGCTGCTGCCCTGCATCTTGCCACTGGTCACGTGTTTATTGATCCTTCGATAAGGGGAAGAGAGGATACACGCGCCTTTCGTGCTCATCCGTTTCCAGGCCTGCTAACCCGGAGACTCCCGTCTACGCTAAATTATTATCCGTGTTGTTTCTATTTTTTATAATCGCAGTTAGCGCAGTTAGCGAGGACATAGACGAAAAAATATATTAAACGAAGATAGACGTTTTTGAGAGAGGTGGCTTCGAGCTGGGAGAGGGGACAGAGGCAAACAAACTACTTACTGGATCAGTCCATTAATCTGTGCGCGTGTGTACCCGTGAAATCGTCGCTCTTTACGTAACACAGATTCGATGAACCGATCCAATAAAGGACCACTGATCCCGATTATATTATCAAACTTTTTATTCGGTCGTTCGCGCGATTCGACGAGCAAACTTTTCAGAAAAAGATACGATATCCGTGCGTCGGCAAAAGTATCCGCCATCGGTGCTGATTACAAATTTCTTTTTTGCTCTCGTTCGTCGCGTTAAACGTAAGGAAATTTCTAGTGCGCCTGCCGAACAAGCATTAATCGCTCGAGTGTCTGTCCAAGAATGAAAGCAACAGCGAGCGCGAGAGTGCGTCGAACACGTTTATATCGAATTGTACACGAGTGTTTCTATATCGTCCAGTCGTGGGAGAAAGCAAGAATCGACCCGGTGAGAGAATGTCGAATTTCGTCGTAGCTTTTATCGAATCTAGTCGCTATTAATCGAGAGCAGAGATACCTTATCCTAGAGTTACTATTACCGACAGTCACGCGTGAGTGTAGAGTGTGTTTTACCAAAGAATATTTCAAAGGTCGCGCCGATAACATTCCTATCGTTAATTACCGATGTACGGGGCGAAACACGATGCATGGAGAACGCCCGAAAGCATCGTCTCGAGTGTACTTTATGTACGGTATTACTGTAAGAGCACTCTGTACATATGTACATAAATCGAACCAACTTTTATCTTTAACTTAACGTTCTGATAATAAAGCGGCATTTATGTCGACGCTCGATAATACGAAATAAGCCTAATCCTTCCGGAACGTCCATCCCCTCCGACAATATCCGCTTCATAAAACGGATCATAAAACGGAAGTATTGTACAGGCATCTGTCCGTAAAGAACCGATCACGCTTTTTCTGACACTGATAGCTCTTCGGCGGCGATCGGAAAAAGAAATTCGAGATCTTTTGCTCCCCAGGATTTGCCGCATCCTCCGTATCCTCCCACTCCACCGACAACGCCTTCTCCTCCAAGATTTTCTCGGCGGTTGACCAACTGAATCTGACGATTCGAGGAAACCCGAACACCGGATCCACGTTTTCTATCAGCCAATTCTTTGTTTCCGGATCGTTCGGATATCCGCTTCCGTACGCTTTACCGACCGAACCTTCGCGAAACTGCCAAGCTCGTATCGCGTGATCGCGGGATACTTTCGCGCAGATACTGGCCGCGCTCACGATCGGATACGTCGAATCGGCTTTCTTCGCGACGGTTATTTTTATTCCGGGAAAAATCTCTTCCAACCTGGCCTGGTACTTCTCCGGTTTTCCTACCGTGTCCACGTAGATCTCCGAGACCCATACACCGGCTTCTATCGCCATTTTAGTCAGTTCGATCGCGGAAAGCATCGACACCTCGTTCAAAGACGTTTTACTCCGACGATACATGCTGTTCGAGATGATATTCGGCGATATCGCGTCTATGCACCATCCCATTTTATCCTGCTCCTTGCAAATTTTATCGAATATCGTGTCCCTTTTTTCTTCGGTCAGACTCTTGGAATCGGCGCAACCCAACTCCACTAGAAGCTCTTTCGACGACAAAGGCGCGTACGAGATCCCGTAAACCATGGGTCCCAAAACTGGTCCGCGCCCGGCCTCGTCGATGCCTAGCTGACACGGCTCGTCTTTGCATATTCGTGGTACCTGCCGGTAAATTTTATCCGTTATCGAACTGAAATATTATACCTAATCGATCATTCTTTATGTAATTATATTTTACTTATTTCCACTGCCTCCGTACACGAGTACTACTTACTTTACTTACTTACTTACGTGCCAGTATCCTCGAAGAGGTTAAGTAACCTCCAATCTCTCTTAATTATCGGCCCCGAACACTTCAGTACCGAATAAAACATGCACGCGCATGCACTCTCACACAAACACGCAAACCGGGTGTAATAATTCGTTTACTTGTTTTTTAAATACCTTTGACGCGTAAACTTTGTTTACACTGTGATCCCAATTTTCGAAGTACGAAGTTAAATCTTCTTTGCAAGTAATCGAAGCGTCTTCTTTCTGGCTCGCACAATTTTCCTCCGAATTCGTTTCTTTAACGTCGATCGAAGTATCTTTTTCATTTGCCATGATCGCGTGCGTCGTTACGTTCGAAAACGTTAATCCTTCGACCTAACCTTCAATGAAACGTCGACGTTCGGACGAGCCGCCAAAATTACGAGTGCTCGTATCGATAAGTCGTATCGAAACACCTGTATATATTTTACATTTACAGAAGTACACATACATATGTATATATATTTATATAAATTTATATATGAATTTTCTAGACTCGAATAAACGTTAGTTTTTTAAATTACATATAAACGGTGAATGAAAAGAAATTCGCGATTCTTGAAAACAGTCCGTGAGTAGAGGTGAAAAAATTCTTTATGATCAGATGTCAGGACATGGTAGGAAAATCTCGATGGTGCGCGTATATCGATAAACAACGTCTGGTATCGACCTCTATATTGTATAGTTAAAAGTTTCGGATTTCTCACTACTAACTACCTGTGTGCATGTGTTCGCGTGTCCTCGGTAGAAATAGTTGATGACACCGTGTTAGTAATATCGTGTGTCGCAAAATATAACCTCTCAATAAAATGCTCCAATTCTTATCTGTATCGTTAAAGATTTTGTTCTTGCGAAAAATTTGATTTTACACGATCGTGTGAACGTACAGACGCTCGTTCGAGCACGTTACAACATGAAAGTTATCGTGAAGAAGCTTCAAGGAAAAGAATGCGTTGTTGACGTGAGTACCAAGCATCTTGACTGTATCTTTTTTTCTATTTACAAGATATTCGTCACGCGATGAATTTCATTAATGAACATTTCATCGATAACGTTTCTCGAACTTTCGTTCCTCTCCGATACGAATTATCGCGTCTCGGCCTTCGAACAAATTTCCAACAAATTTTCCCACTACGAACGGTTATTAAATCGTTTATAATTCTCGTAGATTATGCCCTCGGACACAGTGCTTCAATTAAAGCACAAAGTCAGTGATCTTTTGGGTATAGATGTTCCACAACAGAGACTGTTGCTTACGGGCAAAACTTTAGCTGGTAAATTTACTTGAACGTTCCAAGATAAAATATTTCGTTTTTACGTAGCAGTTAACGTAGCTCCTATCCTGATATTCCAGATGAAAATCCGTTGAGTTTCTATCCGGGAATCAAGGATGGAAGCAAATTGAATCTGTTGGTGATTAAAAAGGCGGACGAAGGATCTAGCGAGGGAAAGGCTTCGCATAGCAAGTCTGGCATCAATATTCTACGAGATGAAATCTCTAGAGTTCTGAGGCACTATTACTCGGAGCCTGAGACAGAATGGATAGTCAACGAGTTGATAAAAGACCTGAAAAATAAAGTGAATAACCTTAGTTACGATGATTTAGAACGATTAGCAACGGCGCTGCTCCAGGACCAAGAGAACTTAGATTAAGAGTACTTTGGTTTTCCATTTACTGCTTAATACTTGATTATTGTAATACACTTTTATTTAATTAAACCGTTTCCTCATTGTGTCCCATTACCGGTAGTATATTTTAAACAATCGGGAAGCCGCGCAAGAACAAGGCGGATGTATGGAAAGATTAATTTTATTAAAACGTACAAGTATAATTGTAATTGCACTTTAATAAATGGATTCTCAAGGGTCGGCCAAATCCAGCTGTCGGAAATATCTTGCAACTAAGCATATAAATAAATTCAGTGCTCCTATTTCTCGTACTTCCAATTCTTCCTGAGAAAGAAAAAAGAAAAAAGAAAATAGAAAACGTTAACGTTTAGCTAAAAAATTTGTTAGAAGAGAGAAAAGCGAACAATTTTTATACGTTCTTTTAATATCTAATATTGTTTTATTCGTCTATTTTCCTTTTAGATTATATCTTTCGCTCGCGTTTCGATTTATTTCGATGGGAAATTTACTGAGCAATTATGAAATAAAACTGATTTGTTGAAAAAAAAAGGAAAAAAAAAATAGAAACGATAAACTTTGGTTTCTCTTTCTTTCAACGACTAACAGCGGCTTCTTTCTTATATCGCAAACATCGTTCGTCAAATGAAATATTACCGATCGTGCACGCATAATCGAGCATGTTCTAGCCAACGAGCGCAAACAAGAACATATATCCGGAGTTAGCGGCATTTCTAATACGACTAACAATGCGTATATCCATTGTCCCAATTCGTATTGTATTTTTTTCTGCGACGAAAGATGTTGTACCAAATACTCTAATATTTGCTCTATCATCGGTTGATTCAGATGAAAAATCACGCTCAACGTCGGAACGGTTTTTACTTTCTCTTCGTTATGTCCCGAACAGAATTTGATCCAACCTTTTTCGTCCTCTATATCCGGCTGTAAATTTAAGAAATGAATAACTCGTCGAATATTTAGACGATCCGTTAACGAAGCTAAAATATTCAATTACCTACCAAGTTCATTTCGCAGCGTCCGAGTTTGCTTTTAAACGTTTCAATGCCATTTTTCAGCTGGCTTACGTATAATCTTGTATCGGAGAATTCTGATACCTGATACAATTGCCAATCGCGCGTCGGGCCAAGCCACGGAGGTGCCTCTACGCATCCTGATAACTTGTAACGTTGCGTTTACATCATTATTTAATATTATTTATGCGCTCGCAAACATAGACATCCTATTGCCAAGCGAACTATTTTAATACACCATTTGCAAACTTACGGGTTCGATATCGATCGTAGGTTTTTTAAGTTGTTTATGGTCTATGTCGGCTACCACAACATCGGCGCATTGTTGTGCTTCTATCCTGTAATATCCGAAGCGATCAGAAGATACTTTCTCGAGTCATTAATTTATTCGTAAAACATCTACTTACACTACCCTCTTGATGTATTCCTCTCCAGAAACCGGCGGTAAAGAAAAATTGATATTTTCATCTATTTCGCCGACTAAAAGGGCAGGTTCTATAAAATATTCCGTCATTTCGTTTACTATCCAATAAACGTTTCCAACAATTTTACTTCCCTCTCCGACGATGCGAATAGGTTATGGTCGATGCTCAAAATATAACCTCGAAACGCAATTACTTTACCATGACACTTTTCACCTTCTTAACTAATAAATAATATGTCATTAAGACCACGTATCGAGGTCAATCTTATTTATTAGATAAGCGTTTCAAACAAAAACTACACGGTCAATATAAAAAAATATTGATGACTTCGAAGTAAATAAATAATAGGTATACGCGGGGTCATCTACCCGTGAATACTGGTATTAGCTGAAATAAAACACGCGATTTTCTCTAAAATTATTAACTTTCCCGACTTTCTGGAACAAGCAGAGTAATCGAAAGAATGACATTTTAATTAACGGACGGTGCTAGGAATGAAATTGAAAAATATAACATTTTATGGAGTTGAAAATCCTTGGCCATCTAACGGTGGAAGGTGGGAACTAATTAAAGTACAGTTTCAAAAGCGTGTAGTTCACCCCGTTCGCCGGAGAGATGGTGCCACTTGTTCTATTTTTACTAGGTCTGTTTGATAAAGGCACTCCACGCCTAACCTAACAATGTTCAGCGAGCGAGTAAATTTCACGCTAAAGCAAAAATAGTCAACCGTGTCATCCGGTTGAATTGGTTGAGTGGTACAAGAGAAAAACGTGGACAAAAAAGTTGAAAAGTCAAGTACGTAAGCGCGAGCAAATTCAATTTTGCATTAAAGTCTACGCGGATATGGTTTTTCGGTAATTATTCCTCCGTGGCAAGCGCGGCCGGCGCAGGAGGAATATACGCATGATAATGAGTATGCAAAATCGTTAATTACTCACTGTCCGAGCACAGTCTATGAACTTTTATGATTAAAGAATGGTCAGCAATGCATTATTTACATGGTTCGATCATAAAAGTTCATAAATAATGTTCGGGTAATGAGTAATTAATTATTTTGTTGCAGCCTTGCGATACGTACATGAGCCGCCCATGTCAATTCTACTGCGCATGCAAAGTGCAATATTTCGGCACTTTGACGACGCAGTATGGTCCCTGAGGCATTTAGAAACAAATTTCTAT